GGGCGCGGGACGCCGCGGCACCCGCCCAGACATGCTCGCGCTTTCTTTCTCTCTCACACACACACGCGCACACACTAGCGCCGAGCTTGGGTCCCCCAGGACGTGGCGCCGTAGCCCACCGCGGCTGCGCGCCGGGGCCCCCACGCGCGGCTCCCGCACGTGGTGTCACCCCGGGCGGCACAGCGGGGGGAGGGGAGAGCTGCGCGCCCGGGAAGCCGCCGCCGCACGCACGCCCACGCACCCGCGCCCCTAGCGTGGGAGACAGCCGCGGGCTCCCAGTTCGGGGCTCGGCCGGTTCCAGCCCGAGGGGGCTGCCCCCCAGCAGTGCGGCGCGGGTGCCCTCAACGCAGAACAGCATGCTGGGGATGCCTTGTGGATGCTGGCGCGCGCTAGGAAAAGAACTCCGAGAAAAGCACAGCGGCGGGACAGTCTCCATAGCAATCGCCTTTTAATGTGCCTTGATGGCTTGGAGCGCTTCCCACCAAGAATATTTTAAAAATCGGTGATGTGAATATTTTTGAAGACATCACATGTGTGGCTGCCGGGACTAAATAAGAATTCCGCTGCAGCCTCTGAGAAAAGGTCTCAGGTGTGTAACACGCTCAAGGTCTATTCATGGCTGCCTCCTCACGTCTCCTTGCTGCATAGGCTGTAATTCCATATAAATAAAATAAAATGTTTCAAGGCTTTTTTGTGGGAGGTATCTGGGGTGTGGGGACAGTCCTCAGATAGGAATAGCCATGCGGGGGTAAGACTAAAACAGGCGATCCTCCTTAACAAGATTGTCACCACAGCATGTACTGTCCCCGCCCTTTTGTAGTATTGCAAACAAATCACGTGGATGAACTTCCTTATGTTCAGCACAACAAGAAAAAAAAAAAGGGGGGGGCTGGTCGGCAAGGTGATACAGATCCTACAGGTACTAGCGGCTCAGCACGTGGTGTGCCACAGTAGAGGAAGGGAGCTCAGATTGCAGACTCTGGCTGCCTAAGGGGGAAGTTTGCCTTCTTAGGTACTGTTTACTGAGCACCTGCTATACCCAAGGGCCAGGATTACTTAGTGGGGTCCAAGGATTCTCATCACAGGAAAAAAAAAAAAGCCCTCTCAAACTGTGACTTGTGTCTTGGGTGTTTTAGTAGTTCTGGGTATTGAAGGTGGGTGCAGCCGTCCTCTGGGTGGGTGGCTTCTTCTGATAGGAAGGGCCCTAAATTTTCCAGGTGGAAGCAGAAGAAAATTACTGGTGCATGCAAAGATTTTAACTGAAAAGACTTTAAGTGAAGCGAGTATGTACAGACGATGGGCAGAGTCAGAGAAGCAATACAAGCAGTAGTGGAAAGATATTACCAGCCCTAAAACTCCAGGAGTAAAGGAAAGGGGCTAGAGTCCTGAAAAGAGGCCCCCAAAAGGCGTTATAACTGATGAAGAAGCAATGACATCAAGGAGACAGCCGTGGAAAGAAACACCCCTGATCTCTCTTCCCATCCCCCTCCACTCTTCAACCGGGGATTGAACTCAGGCCCTTGCGCTTGCCAAGGAAGCGCTTATTCCACTGAGCCAGCTCCCCGCTCCCCGCTCCCCGCCCCCACCCCACTCTTTAGTACCTATTTCCTTTATTTCCCTTTACTCAAACCCAACTGGAAGGCAGAGTGCCAGGGAGCCTGGAACGTCCTCAGGCACAGATGAGTAGGAAGGCAGAGGGCAGGTCCCAGCAAAGGGTGAGGTGCAAACAGCATCTCCAGTTCAAGCAGGCATTGCTTGCTGCTCTCTTCCAAGGCAAGCTCTCTTTCTGAACCCGGCTGCTCATCAGTAAAACATTACCTCCTAAGAAGTAGTAGGAAGATTAAATGAAAAGAAAAAATCTTCAGGTTCTTGCGAAGCTCATTTTGTAGGGGCAGTTCTCTAGCCCACTTTTATCCTTTTGAAGGTTTTCTCAAGTGGGTGTGGAGCTTTGCAGCTGGCCCAGAACTAGCTCACCAGCCTGGGGAGGGTTTTGAAATGGGCGCATTCACGCTCCAAAAGCGCTTTTTATTAATGAGACCTGGGAAGTCTGTCCAGGTTCAACCCAAATTCAGACTCTCGGGGCATTCCCAGTCTGGCTGCTGAGTGTGTCTGGCTCATGGACC